CAATTTATTTTACAACTCTGGTTTAATCTTATTTCCATGGCAGACTAAATGTGAGTAAGAGCTAAGAGGCCCAAAGTACTTTCAGATGTTTTCTGACAATATATAAAATTTCAAATGTGTCTGCTATACAGCTGTGGATATGCAAAAACACATCCAAGCTATGTGTAAGTCTTTTAGTGTGTGCTTCAGTGGCACGGACATTAAGACGGGATGGATACAGAGTCAGTTAGCATGGCCTCTGCACAAGGTTAACACACTCATTCATGTAGCAGTCCACATGTGCAAGGGGAGCAGAGAGAGTGGAGAGAATGGAAGACAGGAGGGGAAAGAAGGGAAGGTAGATGTGGGCAATGCATGGAATGTTCTATGGAAGCATCACAATGAAACCCACTAAACTGTACAATCAAATTGTGTTAATGAAAAATTTATTCTTCAAATGTTCAGTCTTTATCCTTTTGGAGAGCCTCCTGTTTGCCCACTGTAATGAGATCACAGAGAACTGTACAGTTAATTGTATATAATAGTCTCTAACAGCCACCCATGGGAAAAAGTTATTCACACTAGAGGAGCTCTATATCCTGTTAAATTTAGAAAGAATTACAAATGTGTTTTTCAGGGAAACCAGCAAAGTGGGAAAATCATCAAAATTTCTGAAGAGAACCCCTCTTCCAGCCATGTCTGCTCCCTCTGACTGGCACTAGGCTTCTGACTTTGACTCTGAACACATTGCTGCTGGCATGCAATTGTAGAGCTAGAGATTTTAACATTTTACTTATTTTAACAAAATTCGCTGATTTTAAATGATTTTTGACAAAATTTGTCCATTTTTAAAGGGTTCCTGGGTTAACACAAGCCATTATTTAAGAGCTAAAGTTCTGAAAAAGTTGACCCTAACAGTGTTTTGCCATTTTCTCGTTGCTTTAAAAGTATGAAAAATTTCAGAAGTCTTTATACTACCAGTACCTCAGAGATGACCACCTATCTCCTCCCTCCTCCACACCACATGATCTTAAGCCATAATCAAGAATGCAAGAGTGCACTCATGTCTCTAAAACAGAAATTATAGGCTATATTACCGTGCACATTTCCTGGTTGTAGTGTTGTGAGTACAAATGAGTTCTTTACTTCACTTGGCATATGACAACAATGTCTTGAATGTTATTTCCCTCACCTCATATTACCCACTTAATATTTGGGACAAATAAGAGAGTTTTGAGTATATAGGTGCTCAGGGCAGAGATGGGGACTTGGTTTCCACTGAGACTGCCTAGGCAAATACCACACACATCTTCCCTCAGAATTCAGTAGGTGATACTTAAAGAGAAAATAATTGTATTATATGCACATATTTGTTTTCTAAAAAAGATTCACATTCACCAGGCATGGTGACATATGCCTTTAATGCCAGCACTGAGGAGAGGCAGGTGGATCTCTATGAGCTCAAGGCCTGCCTCATCTACATACTGAGTTCCAGGCCAGCTGGGGCTACAGGGAGACCTTGTCTCAAAAAGACAAAAATAAATAAATAAATTTAAAAAAATTTATTTTATTTTTATCAAACATTTTAGGAAATATTTTAAAGTTGTACTCAATCTAAATATAATTTAGTCTCCTGGAACACTCCCTACTTTATTATCAATATAGTTTTTTCTACATAAAATGATAAAGAAAAAAGTACTGTGAAACATAATGAAATCAGTTACTTCTGATTTTTTACTGAGTTATTTTTATTTTATGTATCTGACTATTTTGTTTGCATGTGTGTAAGTGTACCTATGTGAGTGTAATGCATGTAGAGGTCAGAAGAGCATTTCCAGTCCCCTGGAACTGGAGTTATGGACAGTTGTTGGCAGCAATGTGGGTTCTTGAAACCGAATCCAAGTCCCCTGCAGGAATAACCAGTGCCCATAACTGCTGAGCCGTCTCTCCAGCCCCTACTCCTGATTTTTACGTGCTTAATAATTATCCAGTCATAAAATACCACATAAGTTTTATACATCTTATACACAGATAAAGGGTCACTGTGGTGAGGGCTAAGCTATTTATTTTCAGCTCCAAACCTCTACACTCTGGTTAAGAGACTTAAGGTAAAGCTTCATTTTTCCTTTCCCAGACTGCTACCTTTGGCTCTCTGCCAAGAGGAGGCCTTGGAGGGAGACTGATAAAGCCAAAGAAAGAGTGAGAAGACATTTGCTGTTTCTGTCCATATCTTACTTTTGTAGTATTGTGCAAGCACCTGATTTTTCCTTAGCAACAGCAATTGTTATTTTAATTTGTCCCTTATTATTATTCAACCTCCTCATACCAGCTTACCAAAACTCTCCCCAGAGTCTGCAGCGTGAATTTCAGAGGGTCAGAATCTTCCTTCTTAAGGCTGCTGCTGACCTTCCATTGTGGCATATCCTGCAGGACAGAAAGTGAAAGATACTTTCCCAGCGAAAGTATTTATGCAAAACAAGTTCTTAAAACTTACTGACATAAAAATAAAATTAATACTAACAGGACATAAACTATTTCATTCTATCAATGTTGGGTATTTGGAGTAATTTAAAAGAAAATGGGAGTATGAAATATAACAAAATTTAATAAAAACAAATTTTTTAAAAAAAGAAAAAGGAAAGTTCAATTAATCTCAATCAGAAGAATATTTCCCAAAGATTTGTATCTACATCTAACAACTAACGAAATGTAAAGATTTTCATATTTCTTTTATTAATGCATCTTGTAATTATTATGGCAAAATATTTTAGTTGTGGAGCCTATTGCTATATAAAAAAAGAAATATTTCTAATTTGTATACATGTTTTGAAAGAGTGATCATAATGAAATACTTAAGAAAAATAAATGGGTGGGTTAATGGACCAACTTCAAGGAGACAGAAAGAATTTCCCACAGTTAAGGAAAACATTTTTTATAGATTTTAAAATTGATAATGGTCACTTGAAATTTTCTAGGTTATAAAGATTCCAGGGATGGAGAGATAGTTGACTTGTAAAGTGTTTGCAGTGCAAACAAGAAAATCTGAGCTCAATCCCAAGCACTCATGTGAGCAGTCAGGCATGGTGACACATTCCTGCAATCCCAGCACCAAGAATCTGAGACAGGCAGATCCCTGGGCTCCCTGGCCAGCCATTCTAGTCAATCTATGAGCTTTAGATTCAGTAGGAGACCCTGTCTCCAAAATAAGGTGAGGAACAGTTAAGGAAAACACCCAACCTTGACCTCTAACCTCCACGTGCATACACACACATGCACAGTAACTTATATACACATACAAAAAAATATTCTATTGGAGATATTTTAAATAGTGATATGACAGTTTAATTTTTAAATGTTGATATTCACAATTTGCTAAAAGCTACACCTTTTCTACTATTTAAGCTTTTAATTCTTTTTATCTTCCTTGAGAAGTCACTGGAATATGTGCCTTATTAATCTATTCCTCACTTAACAATGCTCATTCTCTTTTTCCCTAGAGAGAGATCTTCCGCAAATCAGATCCCTAACGGAGGACACCTGAGTCTTTACACATGAGCATTACAGAAAAAATCAATAAATACTCTCACTCACCAAGCCCTGTGACCAAAGAAGGTGGGAATACAGAATAACAGTCTCTCTGCTCTCATAACACACACGTGTGAACGTGCAGACACCCACCTTTCACTTTCTCTCTCTCTCTCTCTCTCTCTCTCTCTCTCTCTCTCTCTCTCTCTCTTTCTCTCTCTCCTTTGCTGTACTCATGCAATACATATTTACTCAGAGTAGCTTTGCACCCATATAGTACACCGTCACAGAGCTCCAAACTCAGCATATGCCACAAGAAATGGATGTCATTCAGATAGGTAAGTTTTTAAAATCAGATTTTTTAAAACCTGTGTTCAGTTGACAGTTGCAGTGCATTGATGTCTAGTTTGAGACCACAAAAATTCAGTCATCATAGTGACTCAGGAAAGACTGAGGAATGTTTGGGAGGGTATCTGCATTGTGAAGTCCGGTGACGCTCCAGCTCACTATCCTTTCACACTGTCTCTCTCAGTGGGAAGAGAATAAAATCCATAGATGCTCACATAGATCCTCACATCCATAGATGCTGAAAGAGTAGCAGATCTCTTACGACAATAGTTGGAAATCCTACGCAGATACAAGACTAGGTCAAAAAGAGAATGGGAAAGAAAGGGAGGTGATGCCAGCTGGCCAGACTCTACCCTCTGAACTCCCTCCCTTCATATTACAAACCAGGATCGAGGCAGAGCCTAAAAGTATTGTGTCAAAGAAAAAAAAAAAAAAAAAAAAAGAGGAAGTATTCTGTGTCCTGTAGGAAAGGAGTCTAAGTTCTTTTTGCCTTTGGTATTCAGATACTATGCAAAGTTATTGCAGCATTAGGAAGTGATTTGAAACGAAATGGCTTTTTTGAAAGATATAGGAATTCAAATACTGACTATGACAACAGACAATGGATGAAATGAAAAGACCCAACTCTGAATGTGGATTTCTGGGATTCAGTTAAGTTCTACACTTAACATTCCTATGGAGGCTACACCTGCATAAAATATAGAGTCCCTATTCAAAAGGCTTCTGTAACATGGTAGAAGACTAAGAGATGAGAGTTTAGGGATCTCTGAAAAGCAGAATATAAACAGGAGGCCCCTGGGAAGGCCTTAAAACGAGAAAAACTAGAGAAGGGGAAATAAGACTTCTAATGTGTGAGAAAAGACACCAGTAAAGGGAGATAAGGAAAGCGCCTATAATGTGCAGTCTGAAGGTCTGTAGATGATATACAGGGCACTTTACAAGTCAGGAAACAGCAGGTTTGTTGAATATCACTGCTACATAATCTAGAAAAGAGCAGAAGACTTAAAATGGATTACATGGGAAAGACTCTTTTCAGATACCTGAGCAAAGGGCAGTTTTCTCAGCTTACACAAGAATCATTTTATGTGAATCAACCAAATGCCTAATGTTACAGGGCAGGCATCCCATCATCCCTTGGACAAAGCCCTTCATGTGCCAAGATGGATGTCACCCTCCAACATGAGTGACAGTCTCCCAGTCACTCTCTTCCTGACAGGCATGCCAGGGCTGGAGTTTGCCCACCTCTGGATTGCCGTCCCTTTCTGTGCCATGTATCTGATAGCACTCCTGGGCAACGCTGCCCTCATCCTCGTCATCAGCACAGAGAGTGCTCTCCATGCGCCCATGTACCTCTTCCTCTGCCTTCTCTCTCTCACGGACCTGGCTCTCAGCTCCACCACTGTGCCTAAAATGCTGGCCATTCTGTGGCTTCACGATAATGAGATCTCCTTTAGCGGTTGCCTGGCCCAGATGTTTTGCGTTCATTCTATCTATGCTCTAGAGTCCTCAGTACTCCTGGCCATGGCCTTTGATAGATACGTGGCTATCTGCAACCCGTTGAAATACACAACCATTCTCAACCACACTGTCATAGGCCAGATTGTCTTTGCTGGCATGTTCCGTAGTGTGGCTATCGTCTCCCCCTTCATCTTCTTGCTGAGGCGACTGCATTACTGCGGTCACCGTGTCATGGCTCACACATACTGTGAGCATATGGGCATTGCTCGACTGGCCTGTGCCAGCATCACTGTCAACATTGTTTATGGGCTGACTGTGGCTTTGCTGGCTATGGGTCTAGATTCCATCCTCATTGCCATCTCCTATGGCTTTATCCTCCGTGCTGTCTTCCGTCTTCCATCACGTGATGCCCAGAAGAAGGCTCTGAGTACCTGTGGCTCTCACCTTGGTGTCATCTTGGTTTTCTATATTCCTGCCTTCTTCTCCTTCCTCACCCACCGCTTTGGTCACAACAGAGTGCCCAAGCATGTGCACATCTTCCTGGCTAACCTCTATGTGCTGGTACCTCCTGTGCTCAATCCCATTATCTATGGAGCTAGAACCAAGGAGATTCGGAGTCGACTTTTAAGACTGCTTCACCCGGGGAAGGGCTCGGTATGAACTCTAAGCAGACGTTGGAGATGAGAAAAAGAAAATAAACTGGTTTTACATGATCAGAGATCTGGAAGTAAGGGGGCTGGTCACAAGATGCAGAGACATCAAATAATCACCTTAAAACAGATCACTTTTCCTGAGCCCCTCAAGGATCTCTGGACAGTCCAGAGGGGTGATCTATTCACTCTTCTCTAAAAAGTGGCTGCTACTTGTTAAGGAGCTATTCATTTACTGCCCTTAAGAAAAGACTATGTTTTCTAAAAGGAATATTCTTCTGTGAGTCCAAGTGGAAAAGAAAAAGTTGCTTTGAGTATGAATCCGAATTCTACAACACAACTTCACCACTTCATATAGAAGCCAAAAGTACACAGCCGGAGTGCCTAAGCTTCAATGTTGACTTTTCTACTTCCTGATCTTGTAACTTTGACCAAGTTGCTGAATTTTTTCTATACCTTAGTCCGTCCTGTTTTTAAATGGAGATAATGTCTAACTCTTACTGCTGTGGTAAGGAATGAATACTTTAACAGACAGAAAAATTTAGAGCATCACATGTAGAGGCTCAATAAGCAAATTTTAAAAAGTTCTGCAGCATCTCATAAACATTAGTAGGCAATTTCTTTATCTGCCTCGTTTTTTTTACATTATGATACTTCACAGAACACTGATAACCATATTACATAATAATTCTATATTATTTCCATGGTGTTTAAAATGGAATCCACGCCTACTGAAACTGAATTTTCCCTCATCCTTTCTCCAATCTCCTATTTTGACTCTTACTTCATTTTAGTCATAAAGTTATCTCTATTAAGATTCAGAGGAGTCGGATCAGACACCAGAGTCTTCAATTGCCCTTCAGTGCTTTTGTAATCTCAGTTCTAATTTTCACAAGTTCACTTACACTGCTTAAAAAGATGACTTCTTTTATGGTGGGAATTGAGAGATGCATTAATCTATGGATGCAGCAATAAGTCACTAGGAGACAGTTTAATACTATGTTCATTTAACAAAATAATAGTAGTAAGCTCTGAGCTATGGCCCATGACCTGTCTAGCCACAGGTCTCTAGGCCTGCTATCAGTATCATGTATGAGTTCCTTCTTGTGAAGCTTAAATCCAGCTTTCAACTCTCACCACAGAAACTTCCTAATGCCACAAACAGTGATTAGCACAGTGACCCACAACTGACCAATGTGCAAACAAGAGATTTCAGAGCACTTACAGGATACTACATCAGATTCTGCCTCCTCAGGCCCAGGAATCATTGCAGAGGAAGGGGCAGAAAGATTATAAGAGCCAGAGGTGGTGGATGACCACAAAGAAACAGTTTCCCAGAAAGGGCAGTCACTCACATGAACTCACAGCAGTGGTGACGGCATGCACAAGAACCACATGAGGTCAAGTCAGAAAAAAAAAAACCCAGCATAGAAGTGGGGATGAGGGGAAGAAGAGGAACTATCTGCATCAGATAGCTGCTGGGAGAGGGGAAGTCAGTTCTCTTTAAGGGTATGATGATTGGACCCTGGAAGGAAATGGTTCAGTGGTTAAGAATACTTGCTGTCCTTCCAAAGGACACAGGTGCCGAGTTCCAAAAAATTCTATGCCCTATTCTGGCCTCTGTGAGCTTTGCATGACACAAGTACACTTAGACACATGCAGGCAAAAGAAATAAAATTTAAAAAGGGTGTGACAATGGATAGGTTAATTAGGCTCCAGTGGATGGACCCACATCAAAGGGAACTTGGGGCTACAAATTTGACTCAATAAGCCTTAAGCCTCTGTGTGTGTATGTGTGTGTGTGTGTGTGTGTGTGTGTGTGTGTGTGTTATTAATAGAGTGCAGGAAATTGTGTGGAGTTACTAAAAGTGGGTGCAGATAGGGAAAGGCATATAAATATGATCAAAATATGATGTATAAAATTAGCAAAAATTCAATTAAAAAATGATTGCCATTATTTGCATTTTAAACCAAGCCTGTAATTCAGAGAATCTGTTAAAGTTACAACTTTTCATTAAAAAAAAAAACTCATATATTATCTAGTCTTTTATACTGATAATAATATGAATTCTGGATCCTGATGACCAAGGACTTAAATCTCAGCTTCCTAACCTACGAACTACATGAATTAAGACATTCCACTCAACCAGTCCCACATTAGCAAAATGTTGAAACAAAGCAAGCACTCAATTCAGATTGGCGATAGTTGATAGTATTTAGTTAATGATGCTTAAATAAATTAATGAAAGTATATACCAAGTTTCAGTATATCACAAGACAAAATAACCTAGAGATTATTTCTTCTCCATTGGTTAATTATTAAACACTTTATCATAACAGGCATTTTATCTGTGTCTCAGACATAATAAACAATAAATACTGTGACTGAAGTGCCATGTCATCATATATATCATAATCTTTGTTGAGTTAATAAATGAATGGCATCTTCAATATGTTATGATGGTAAAAAGAAAAAGTAGGTCTAGTATAGAGCCTGGTACACAGTATTGAATAACTTGATTCTTATTTGTTTAGATTTATGCTGAAATTACCCATGTAGAAGCACATCAATAGATTTAAGATAGACATAAAGGGGAATTTTCTTACCCCAGGAAAGCAATTGAGGGGAGAATATTACAAAGTCCACAGGTAAGACAAGAGAAGTGTCAGCTCTGGCCATAGCTACAGGGATGAATCCACAAACCAGGAGCCAACATGGGCCAAGGGAGCTCAGAGGAGATCAGAGATCGGAGAAGAGATCCACAGCGCAAAAGAAAAGGGTCGGTCAGACAGCAGTGCAAGAAAGAGACACAGAGGTTTCTGAAAAAGCTTGGGAAAGCTGTGTGAGATCAGATTTCTAAGAAGCCTAAACCACGAGGTGTAGATGAGACAGCTCATGGGGTTTAGTGAACTAATCTGAATCCAGGCAGTGATGGAGTAGTCTCAGCCAGCTGTAACTGAAGTCAGAGTTAAAGTGAGGTTGGAGGTTGGTAAGAGAAGGCGAGATTCTAGAAGTGGTGCTTCCCTGATTCCTACAACCCAGCGTTCACAATATCTTTCTTCAAAAAGGCAAATGTGTTGCGATGTGTAAAGAAATTCAGCTTTTGAGGAGAGACGAAGGTCACTAGTTCCAAAGCACCACCTGCAAATCTAGGCCCCACTAAGGTCTTGGGCAATCTTTTCCCTAGACCACCTTAAGAAGTTCTTACTCTGCATATGATCTTTTAATCTGTGCCTCAGGAGACCTTCTGAATTCAGTGATTCTGCACCAAAGTCTCCTGTAATTCTTACCAATACCATAAACCATCTTTACCCCACTACTCCCACATCCACTCTTCATGGTGTCTTCCTCAGCAATGGCCCCTCTGGTCTTTGTCAGTCTTGTCTTGAGTCTGGTCTTGAGAGTGGCATACTTTAATAAATCCCATCTGTCATAGCCTATGCTCTGTGTGTCCATCTGAATTCTTTCCACAGAGATCACAAGGACCAGCGAGTCGAGAGAGATTGGAGTAAGATCTCAGTAACACTTCCCTCTCACCCCCAAGGAACCATCCCCTAATGTCCCCTCTTACTCCCATTCCACAGCCACAAGATCCTATTTTGTCTTTATTTGCTAGTAATAATACTTAAAATTTCAATTTTTCTAATGAGAAACATGTAATATTTCATCATTGTGATTGGAATTATTTTCTGAACTGCTCCTCTCTAAATGAGATTTTAGATTTCCAGAGATACAGAAACATGCTGTGTCCCTCCCATGCCAGGGCAAGACTTCAGTTTCAGAGAAACTGAGTCTTAGTGTGAAGCTGCATAAAGGTAGGAGAATAAATTTTGGAACTAAAGTTTGGGCTTCTACACCTGTCAGTCAGAAGATGTGAGACCCCGGGGAAACAGTGGAACTTCTCTGTGCCTGCTCTTTGCCTGCCTTACAGTTTTGTATGTGATGCTCCGCTGATAATATAGTAGACAGGGGACTGACCAGCAAGGATGACAGCAAGGATGTGGTTTACAACGCCATTGTAGTGATGATACGGAACATGTCAACATAAAAATGATGTCACATGTGTCAAATTCTAACAAAACGGAGTACAGAGGTTGAAAGTGGACAGACCTTTGCATACACTGGTCTCAGGTAAAGAAATAGACTCCTGGAAGGACTCTAACTCCCAAGGGTTTGTAACCAAAATCTTTACTTACTACATGAGTCTCAAAGACATTTATCTGGGTGTAGAACACTTGCCTAATAGTTTCTCCTAATCACCTGAAGTTAACTCTTGTTAAGCCCCTGTAACCAATGTTGTGTGTGTGTGTGTGTGTGTGTGTGTGTGTGTGTGTGTGTGTGTGTGTGTGCGTGCGCGCGCGTGCACATGTGCAGGCGCACATGCATATGTGTGTATCAAAACAACTCTCCTTGTTTCACTTTTAAAGATACTTTCTTCTTCTTTCCAGAATATGGCCATAATTTACGATGGTGTGTGTGTTCCCACTCTAGTGCTCTGCTACTCTTAATTAAACTCATCTTTGGAGAATCACTTTGTGTTATTCAATTTCACAGCAGTGATTTGGGCAGTGTGGTATCAATGAAGATGGTATTTTTAAAAGTGGTCAGATTCCAAGCATATTTTTGAAGCACCGTCAGAATTTTATAACAGATTAATGAAAGAGAAAGAGGTAAGGGAGATCAAGGGCACCTGTCCGTCTGTAAGATTTGGGGGTCAGAAAAGATAAAGTTTGCTCTCTTCCTTTTCTGGTTCTTCCCTCTACCTCCTTTCTTTTCTTCCTCCTCTGTTTTTTTTTCTTCTTTCCTTCCTTTTTTGGAAAACAAAAAAAACTAGAAAAGTAACAGGTTTTCAGAAGATGATAAATGAGTTTGTTGCCTAAAAGGCATCATAGAAAAGGGTCTCCTATCTCGACTGTCTTACTCTGAGATTCAGAGAAGAGGTCTAAACTAGAAATCTGAACTTTCAAATCATTGTGATATTTAAAGTCACATAATTAGGTGAAAATGTTAGGGAAGGGGAGTGCAGCACGATA